AATGCCCACTGAGATGCAGCAGATGCACGTCGCAAGTAGACGGGCTAATTGGTGGGCCTTCTCGGGCTCGTTCGCCCCCAAGTACATGCCAATGCGGATGACCCCTGCAGATCCCAGACCGTAAATGGGGCTCGTGAGAAAGAATACCAATACGATCATCGAATTGTGCGAGTCCAGCGACACCTAGGGACACGGTGTCAGCTTAATCAAACCCGACCGATGAATTGACTGTATTTGTTGGTTGTACTTCGCCCATGGACGACGCCAACAGCGCCATCGTTTGCAGCTGCGAGTTCTCAAACACTTGCCCAACTGCCAATGGAAGCCCCACGCGAACCTGGGGGATAATGTACTTGGCTTGACAAAACTCCAAGTTCCACACCCACGACTTTGCATGGTGCTGGCGGTACCACATCATGTACAGCAAGTACACCCCCAGCCGACCGTACATGGTAATGCACATGACGATGGGCAACCCCGCAAACCCCAACCCCGCCCATCCCCACGACGGCACACCAAACACCACCAGCACATTCATACCCACGTGCACAACCACGAACGACACCGACACGATCGCCGTGGGCAACACGATCTGCTGCGAGTTAAAGTACACAGTCAGATACTGGTAGATCAGGCGCGGCCACAGCCACAACGTGGACAGCTTCGAGTACTGTTGGGCCAAGACGACACTGGCGGGAGACACGCCGAACAAGCGCAGGAGATCGCCGACAAACCACCACGAGAATGCCAACGGCAACGTCACGACGGTCACGCCCAGGCAGCCCATTTGGGCGTATCGACCGAGCAGCAACAAGTTCTTGGCCCCAAACGCTTGCGACCCCAGTGCGTTGAGGCCTTTGTTGAAGCCTTGGGTAAACACGATGATGGTGAAGTCGAACACGATTTGCGAGAATGCGACGGCGGTCATTTCAGCCGTGCCGAGGTGCCCTGCAAAGATCATTTCCAGCATCGTGAGTGCAAAGAAGCTGATCGTGGACACAAACGCCGGCGCCGCCAGACGCAGGAGAGCTCGCAGTTCGTCGTGTGCCGTCGGCGCCACTTTTGACGCTGCCATAGGTCAGATTGTGTGATGGATTCCACGCAGGGTGAGGTGCAAATGATTTAAAAACAGATTCTTTTTTATCATACAAATATACTGGGTGGATGTATGGTTCATTATTATTATTACTACGATCAGTTGTGAAGTCCAAACCTACACTTACACCTTGGTTAGGTAGATGCGTGATGGATTTACTGTATGAGTGACGCCGCAGTCGATTGGAAAGCTCATCAACAACACGAGAAGAACCCATCTGACATAGAGGCCTAGACTAAGTACTATGGACAATGAATACACTACGTATAGGTTCGTCACTGGACGCAGTACATTGAGCTGCATGATGCCATGGTCCGAGGTGGAGGCTAAACTTGAATGGTGAAGTTTGTGTATTCGGCTCGTTCGGCTGTCTGCTAGTAGTACTAATAGGACTATAGTTGTAACCCAAGCATAGGAGTCATGAATTCAGTGTAACGTTAGAGCAAGCTAGTCCAAACCTATAGCCACATATCACCACCACCACTGTATCACTGTATCCGACATCATCCCAACACGTGATCGAATCGCACTACAATTGAGAGGCAAGTTGCTTGAGGAACGTGTCCAGCAGCGGCACGAGTTGTTTGCGGGACAATGCAACGTTGTGTTGGTCGTACGTGATCACTGCAGGATGCACGTCCAGAGGGGCGAGGTCGAGCACAGCCACGTTGTCCAGATACGTCTTGAGCGCCAACTGCAACTTCGGGTCCTTTGCATACACGAGCAGCTGGCGCCGGGGCCCGGACTGAATCATCGACTGTACGACGACAAACGCCAAGTCTAGCACTTGTCGATGCTGCTCTAGCTGCACCACCACATCCCCCCCACCGATAGCCCAAAACGTAGCCAGATCCACCAAAATGGAGCTGCACCCGTATGAGACGCCGTGGGATTCAAACTGCTTGTAGTCGTACTGGAGGCAGTTTGCAAACGAGAACGCTGTCCAGTTGGCAGGGTTGAACTTTTCAAACACGATCCACTCGTACAGCGGAAGCCGTGGCACCAACGCATGCGACAGCAGAGCATCCACCATTGCAAAGTCCCGCGGGGTGCCTTTCTTCATCTTCGGGTCCATGTTCAAGTTGTCCAATAGAATCACCGCCAAGAGCAACGTCGCGTCCAACGGCGGAATTGGCGACGACGATTGGGCTAAGATTTCTTCTGCGATCAGAGTGCAGCACGAGCCCGCTAAGACGTTCCCCCCGTGGTCGGTCTTCTCGAACGCAATGCGTCGACGGACACCGGTCACATGGTCGTGGCTACCGAGGTCTTCGTGGTGATCGATGATGTCGGTCTAGAACATTTCAATTCGGTGAGGTGGGCGGGTGGACGGGCCATGGTCGGAGACATGGAGAGGGTGGACGTACGACGGCTGAGCTTAGGGACGCATAGCCACGCTTGAGTTTGTTGTGGTCGGTTAATGTCAACGTCAATTGCCGAGCGGCGTGGATGGCGGATAGGTCGATTTCGTTTTGGAACACCAGGGCATCGACGTCAATGTGGGCGGCGTCGAAGAGGGCCTTGGTCTCACAGCGTAGACGGAACTGGTCGCGGTCGACGCTCATCACTGGCAAGAAGACTGTTGACGAGGGGGTATTGGAGATTCCCCTTGCTTGGCCACGAAAGAACGCATGCACCAGACTACTTACCATCGAGTCCGCATCGCAGGCTTCATTCCCGATGACCACATGAAGTTGCTTGAATGTGTTGGATAAAGCTGCAGATCGGGATGTGCGGAGGAACGCATTCAGCTTCTCGGCGTGGACTGGCTGGAACACGGCAGCAAGTGCACTCGGCCGACTCATGGTCAAAATATGGATTCCAGTGCTCAAAAAATATTTTTAACAATGTTCCGACGTTTGAAAATGTTTGATTCGTCGGAACCGTGGACATTTAAGGTATTGTGTGATTAAAATCTCATTGGTAGAAAGTAGCTCGATTGTATTTCTCATTGGCTACTGGTAGTTAGCCCAATGAGAAATACAATCGATCTACTTTCTACAAATGAGATTTTAATCACACAAAACCCTCGGCTGTGATTGGTGGATGATCTTGAGTCACCATAGAACAAAGCTTGATTGGCTAATCAATACCCAATGGCATCGCAAGGATTTCAATCCGAAGGACACCAACTCGGAAGGCCAGGGGGTGATGGCAAGACGATGATACTGTACCTTGCCTTCTGAGTGATCGCCTTTACGTTAGCTGATGCCGCCTTCCGTGTACTTAAGATGATTCACCGCAAGGTGGGCGCGGCAGAGCGGACACGATCATTCCCGATCATACCACTGGGCCATGTATTCTGGGCAAAATATTGCTTGCTCAGGTTGCTCTAACACGCATGCTCATGAACGCTCGTGACACCAAAATCTCACGTGCAACTCTGGAAAAGGGTCGAGGCATGGATGTGTGTTCAATGTGTGCATCGCCAAGTCTTCCTGGTCCAGTCAAGCGCGCCATCCCAAACACATTGACGATGGTTGCCATCGGATTAATAATGCCATACAAGTATTCCTACGTATACAAGACGACAGGCAGGTTGTTCCCATCTGACGCCAGCGGGGCGGCTGTCAACGTCTTCGAGAACGCCATGTCGCCTTCGTCCGCCGTCCGAGCGTTCGCTTCTTCGAGCACGTCGTTCCACGATAAGCGAGCCATCACAATGGTGTAGGCCGAACACGCACAAACTGCGCCTACAGTGAGCCCAATCCACAACCCCTCCAGCCCCCAGCTCAAGCGAAATGACAGCATCCCCGCCAAGGGCAACCCCACCACGTAGTACGCCACGGCGTTGACGTACGCTGCCAAGGAAGGTTTGCCCACAGCTTGAAGCATCGCTTGCCACATCGCATTGAACGAATCCGCTGCGTGCAATGGCAGCGCAAACAAGATGGCCACCGCCGCGCGCCTGACAACCTTGTCAAGATCGATGATCCACCATCAAACACAAAAGAATTCAACGTACTCGCACACGTCGTGGTCGGCCACGTACAGCTGGGGAATGTGATACCGCAGCAAGAACATGCCACCGGTGGTCACGACAAGGCAGAGCGCGGTCAGCACCAGCGAGATGCGCATGATGCATTTGGCGTGGTCGACTTGGTTAGCCCCAATGGCATTGCCCATGCGGACAGTCGTGGCAATGGAAAACCCAATGTACATGAGGAACGCTGTTGTAATGGTTTGCATGAGCACCTGCAGAGCAACATCTTAAGCATAGTAGTAGTGTCAGAAGTGGTAAAACTGGCATCGCACCGAGTTGACTGCGATGAGCAAGAGACTATGCGGGAGCTCGCCAGCCATGAACCCCATGATACTGAACGCGCCGTTCTCAATCAACATGGTGGCCATGCCCGGAAACCCAAACTGGAAAAACTCGGGCAAGTGCGCAATGGCGAGCCGCATATTTCCCTGCAGTTTCCACTGCTTGTGCACGGGGTTGATGCACACCAAGTACACGAATTGCATCAACGGATAGATGGTCTCACTGAGACACCCGGCCAAGACGACGCCGTCAAAGCCCATCTTGCGCACTTGGGTCAAGTACAACCCAAGCCCCACATGCATGACGTTGCTGAGGATGGTCATGGGGACCATGGGGGCCACGATGTCGTGGGCCTGGAGCATCTTGCGAACGAGGTCGTACATAAAGTAAAACGGCATCGAAAGCGTGGTATACCGCACGAATTGGCTCGCCAAGTCGGCTACGATCGGCTGGATCCCCAGCGCCACCAGCACCTCCTTGCTGTACCAATTCGCGATCGCCGATGGAATGTACGCCTACAACCCATACACTTGAGTACTTTTCCCATGGACTTTTATTCGTTCGTTGGCTCGTACCAACGCCGTCCCCAAGATCGCGCATTCCAAGTACACCCCCATCTTCTTGTAGTTGCCGGCGCCGTGCGCTTGGGTAGCCAATGTGTCCAAGGCGCTGCCCAGACCAAGGCCCACAGCGTGGGTGGTCACCATCATGTAAATACAACCCATGGTGATTCCGTCCACGAAAGGTTTCGTGTCAGCTATGCCCAAATGCCCCGTGAGGCCAATGCTGATGGGGCCATAAAGGGACTCCACCATGTAGTTTAGCATCTACAGCCACACATGTCAACACAAACACGGCTCGGATCTACTACCATGGGGGCAGCCAGCTTGATCAAGTGGATAGTCTCGTCCCGCACGTTGGGCGGAGGGGGCTGCACGCCACCAAGAAGCGCGTGCGATGCCATCACGTTCGTGTGGATACCACCAGCTTGATGATGCAAATATGAGGTAGGTAGAACAGATTGACCTTTCGAAGGATACTGAAACGGCGGCAGTTTCACAAACAATTTGACCCCCTTTGAGACAAGGCTAACTACAGGCAACCCTGCATGCTTTCGTTCACAGCATGTGTACAGATTGCACTAGTGATTGTTTGGCATTTTGGTCATTTAGCACCTTCGAACTCGAATATAACTCATTCGCTTCGTTAGCCAGCCCCTCGTGAAATGCTTCGTTCGCCAGCCCCTCGTGAAATAAAGCTGTTTTGACAAGTCATTTATTGCAAGTCATTTAACCTTATAGACTCGGCTACACTACTGTACCGGTACTGAACTCACTATGCCAAATGCAATTTTCAATGGGAACTCCTTTTGTCCGACGACTGCTCCGACGGCGGCTCCAAAAATGTGATGTCCAATGCTGACACAGATCAATCTACTTTTCCCCTTCAGTGACAATGTCCTCGTCGTCTGTTGCCCGTAGCTCCCTCTTGAGTGTGGACATATTGCCCATCATTCAAGCCTTCCAATGCGGCCTATACGAGGATTTATTACCAAGCCACCGCACGTGGAACCAAACGCGCACTCGGTTCGACTCGAAACGACAACAAACTATGTGCCAAGCCCCACAGGAAAGCACGGAACTGGCTGTGGACGAATACTTTGTCGATGACGTCACCGACAGATCGTTTCCACTGCATCATGCGATTGTACACGGCTCGCTGTCGCTGGTTCAACGGTGGATTCAATGCCGCGGACGAGAGATCGTGACACGGTACGCCATGGATTGCGCCGCGGCTCACGGCCAAATGGCAATCCTCCAGTGGCTGCATCACCGCAACTTCAGCGGATGCACCACGGACGCGATGGATTTTGCGGCGCTGCGAGGACATTTGAACGTCGTGACGTTTCTGCACTGCCATCGGGCAGAAGGCGGGAGGTTCCTCGCCATGGATTTCGCAGCTGGCCAAGGCCACCTTGACGTTGTCAAGTACTTGCACACACACCGCCGTGAAGGCTGCTCGACGATGGCCATGGACGCCGCCGCCAGCAATGGCCATTTGGACGTTCTGGTGTTCCTCCACACACATCGCCGCGAGGGGTTCACGAGCAAAGCCATCGAAGGTGCCAAGAAGTACGGCCACCACGATATTGCGGCGTACTTGCAGAGCATTTCCGCCGCTCGACTGGAAGCGCTGGTTGCCCCCCACGCACAAGTGACAGCAGCATGATGGGTCGAACTAACGTTACTTGAAAAATAATTTACAAATGTAAATACGACAGTGTGGTCTGATGTCAAATACCATTAACGTTCGACGATGCGATTTACAATAACGTTAAGGGCATCACACAAGTTCGAGCCGTTATGGCGATACTGCCGTACTATTGAAAGCATGAGCCAATACTAAATAGTATTGGCTCATGCTTTCATACTACTATAGAACGTACTAGTAGTAGTAATAAGCGGGCAAAGGACTCGCCATACGAACTCGCGTAGCGCTACCATCCCCACACAACTCGATCCAACATGATCGCTTGGAGTACCTATTACGCCTCTCGGCATCCATACCCACAGGGATGTGTATAATAAATAGTTCCTACTTTGCACGCGATAACTCTCTGAATACATTATCCAAGACATCATGATCCGACAAGTTTATACAACAGCCAAAAACTGCAAACGCCGACCGACCTTGCTAGTCCCGGTCCAATGGCAAGTTGGCCAAGAACCGGTTCAGCATTGCCAGCGACGCTTCGGGTTGGTTTTCAGGCACCATGTGACCCGCATCAAACACGCGCAGGAACGCAAAGTTGCGAGCGGACTGTAGCGACCCCTTAACGACCCCGCGGACCACAAACGGGTGCTCCGTGGCGGCAGTGAACGCGTGGCGGCCGCTCCACTTCAGCGCGTTCGTCCACGCCCGATTTCCCTTCCAGTTACACACCAAGTCGGCGTCCCCTGCGTAAATCAACACGCGGATGTCGTGCTCCAACAAATACGCCACGTCAGCCTCGCGGTTTTGAAAAAAGTCGGCGGCAAAACGACCAAACACGTCTTCGACGAGCTCGGTCCAGGGCAAGTAGTTTGGAATGTTGAGTTTGAGTTGAACGTGGCGGTTGTTGAGGAAGGTGCGGGCGTGGGGGTTGCCAATGTTCTTTAGCGCCTCTTTCGATAACAGATCGTTGTCAGTCGACGGAGTGTCGAGCGCGCCGTTCGTGGATACACGCAGGTCGTACTGGTTCACTTTGGAAATGGTGAGCAGCGGCTGGATGATCGTGGGAAGCCACAGCAGCGTCGCTTGGATGCACGCAGAGTCGTTCGACGTGGCGGCGTAGCACTCTTCAATCAGCTTGACTATCGTCGACACGTTGTGCTTGTACTCGACAAATTCGGTATCGTTCAACAGGATCTTTCCGTACGCATTGTCTTGGATCAAATCGGCTTGGTGTCGCATCTGCATCCATCCAGTTCAGGATGATTGTATATCATGCACAGAGGATCAACGAAGAAGGGACTGGACCTGGATGAGGGAGCTGGTCAAGCCGTTGCCGATGGCCACGCCTTCCAATTGAATGGGGATGTCGTCGGTCGCTGGCGGGGTCTTGAGGAGGGCGGTAGCGACCGCGGGGATGTAATGGCCGGCGTAGCTTTCGCCTGTAATGAAGAAGCGGTGGCGTGCAAACTTGGGGTGCTTCTTGAGCCAACTTTGGAGGAAAAAGTACATGTTTTCGCCCACTTGGGTTGAGTTGTGGTCTGCGTCTTGGGGGGTGCCGTAGGAAAACCCCGTGCCAATGGGTTGGTCGACCCAGATCACGTTGGCGTTGGTCGTCCACGAGTATGGATTGGTGACAGTTGTGATGTCGTCGTCGGCGATGGTGCAGGGTCCATTTTCAGTCAACAAGGCCAAGAGACTCGAGCCGCCAGGTCCGCCTGTGAGCCACAGCACCAGCGGATCCGTATCGGGGCTACTGCGGGATTCAAAGAACCAGTAGAAGTAGTGGCCGTCCTCCTTGTTGGGCAACTTGATGTACCCCGACGATTGCGCCGTTGAGTCGCAGAACGGAGAAGGCGTTACCGAGGCCAATGACGCGTGAGTACGCTCCGTCGTTTGAGTCAACCCCATCATGGTGACCAGCAATGCCATGATGGACAAGAACATTACCTTGGGGAGCCACGGTTTGGTCGATTCAACTTGGCGTGCGGCACGCAGTGGCTGACATTCGTTGGTGGTAGTCCCGTACATTGGTCTCGACAAGTTGCAACAAAAAACCAATAACCACGATGGACGATGAGAAGAATAATGTCAGCTGGCGACGTCATCACGTGGTGAGAATATCATATGTCATCATCACGTGGTGAGAATTTTACTAGCAATTTGTATGACTAATATTATTTTGCAAATCGAGTACTGTACTACAGTAACTTACTCTGTATTTTAATTGCAACCTGCATTGAAGTGTCACAGAAATGACGTCGGATTGGCCATTTTTCAACCAATTGGAGACGTCAAAACTAAACGACGACGACGAATCAAAATATCAAATCACTTTCGTCGGCCGAAATACCGTAAAACACACACCCATTGAAATTGCACACACTACTGTACTAGTACAGAGAACCGAGTAGGAACTCGCGCACAGTGGTATTTTGAAATATATGGGGAATTGTATGCGAATGCGCAAGTTGTGATTCCGAGTACGAATTATAATTTTGCAATCAGATCAATCTGATTAATGTTATTATATCCAATCATACAATTTACAAAATTTTTATGAGCATACTATTTGTTAAAGTATAAAATATGAAAAAATACTAGTGGTTGACGTCGGAATTTATGAATGCTCCATGGAAAAAAAATAGTGTCGATACCACTGTGCGCGAGTTCCTACTCGGTTCTCTGTAGTTGATTTGTTAACAGTAAGTGGGAACTTTTGCGACATGTCAATTGATGGATTCAACAAATTACCTCTTTTTTTTGGATATTTATAATAAATGGCAAATATATTATTACAAAGGTAATGCAATTTAGAAGTCAAATTGGATACAGAGGCTCAATTCTGCTAAATATATGGCATTCTGTTTAGAAGTGAAACACTTCTTACAGAGATGTTTAATGCATACAAACTCGATGTTATATAAATGGAATTCTACTGAAACGTTCAAGGTCGATCCCAATTAAAATGTTTCAAAAACTTTCACAGGTCATTTCGTCAGCTAGTTACCGAGTAATTCCCTGATAGAAACGGTAGTGTTACTCTTTCAAATAAACCAGTACTTTGTGTTTACATACGAAGCACAATGCTAACGTTATTCCCGGGTTAACCTCTCGGGCGGTTAAGTTACATCTCAGTGATGAGCAATCTTATTCACTAGATGTACTTAACAGCTAACCCCGATTACTAAGTATTGTTTTGTGCTCATACTCATTTATTGTGCTTTTCACCTTTTTTGGTTAATCCACAGCTAAAACACTCCTTTAATAATTTTTCATCATAAGATAAGCTTAAAGAAGGGTAATTTTACGGATTGGGACATACATGGTTTAACGGATAGCAATAGATCAAGCAGTACCGATTGGCTAATAGTTGTTGGAGGCTGTAGTCTTATTCTTATTCAAGTTGTTTGGCCATTTCAAAGTGGCCAAACAAGTTGTTTTACGATGATCAGCATTGACATGCGTTGGCGGTGTGTTGTACTCGTTCAAGTATACGGTATCGACCTTGATGTCGTACGGTTGATCCTTGGCATGTCCCGGCGATCTGTTTCAAGGTACAATGCCATGTTCAAGTCCACAGGGCACGTTACTGGTGGCCGAATACGTGCACAGGCTCACCGGTGGCCAGTAGCCGTGAATGATTGGGTGAAAGCTTACGCGGTCTCTCACCCTTGCTTCTACATCGAGGAACTCGAAGAGTCAATTCGACACCAATTTCCGTCATTAAACAACGTGTCGGCCGCAACAATTTGTCGTGCACTCATGCATGGCCTAGGCTTGACTCGAAAAGGTATGTAGTTATTATGATTTTTGAGTGAATGGTATTATTGAATATTTATGTAGTCCTTGAAAAGCGAGCAAGGGAAGCCGCTGATTTCGAGCTGCGGGACTACTACGGCCGACTGCAACCATACTACTTGTACCCCGATCAACTTGTTTTCGTTGACGAGACTTCAAAGGATGGCCGCAACGCGCTTCGAAAGTATGCGTGGTCGAAACGGAACACCAAAGCAATAGTGGAATTGCCATTTGCGCGAGGTGAAAGAGTGTCAGCTCTGGCTGCGTTCACGACGTCAGGATTTTTAGCCTGGGAGTATACTGATGGTAATTATGAAATATAATCAATTTTTTTTATGATTTGATATTTAAGTAATTATATTACAATAGGGACGTTTGACCGTGAAAAGTTCCACGGTGCGATGGTCAAAAGTATCATTCCGTACTTGAATGCCTGGTCCCTACCACGCTCGATTTTAATTTTGGACAATGCGAAGATCCACATGTACAACGAGCTACAAGAGGCCGTCCACAGCAAAGGCGCGTTACTATTCTTTTTGCCGCCGTATTCACCACAACTAAATCCAATCGAAGTTGGATTTAGTTTGTTAAAGCGGTGGATTACCAAATACCCTTTAGCATTTCGAATGAATATTCGATCTGTATTAGCATTTGTGGAATGCACAAAAAAAATGATAGCATTGGCCATAATTTGTATCGTCACTGTGGTTATGATTCAACTCAGTTGGAAAAAGAAATGTTTTTAATGTAATAAAAAAGTTTGATGTATTATTCGCTTTATTTATGAATTATTCGTGGTCAATGTGATCTATATCGTCAATATAATGACTCGGAATGGGAACATCACCGCCAAATGGTTCTCGAAATATGGGTGTCAGATCAAACGGAGGAATTCCCAAAATTAATCGGAGGTCTTCGACAGCAATGAAACACTCAACTGGGGGGCTCGACAACGTTCCCAAACGTATGCGTACCATACGGTACGTCTGGGCTTGCGCGCTTACTTATAGACGTCGCGCTTCAGTGTGTTCGGCCGCCATTCGGTCGATATGACCAAGCTGTTGCATTGTCGCGTTGTTGGGGATGCTTATCGGTGTTGCTGCTGGCAAACGTGCTGTCACAACGGACGCATAATTCGTCTGGAGTGGACCGAGCTCCATGTGTTGTTCTTGCATATAACTTGCCACACGAGCCGCCGAAGTCTCGATGTTGTGGGCGGTTGCGCGTCTATTTCCTGCACTTTCGGTGCTTTTGTCTATATAGTTTGTGTAAAATATTAGTACAGTATGTGTTGAAGTATATTGTTATTTGAGTTGAAAATATTACCAATGTACGCGAAAAGCAACACAGCAAACGATGCTTGGCCATTTCGGACCTTGTTTGCATTTTCCCACACTTGCAGGATGACCTCATTGTAATTGTCTATGGTGAGTTTGGTGTACTTATCTTGCGTTGTGTTTGCGGCTGTTTTCACATATATATCCTTGGCCGTGGCTGGGTCCCAAAGTAGTTTCGAGTTTGTAGGCTCTGCATGATGCACAGCGACAATGGAGGTGCTTGCGTCGACAAGCATGGCGCTGACAACTCCAAATGACGATGTGCTCAGGTTGAGCTCGACTGGCTGACCAACGCTGGTTCGGCTTTTGCCTAAGGGTTTCCCAACCTTTGCAGCAAGTCGGCATCGAAACGAGTCTGGCAGCGGGATCATTGCACGTTCAGGTCGTTGTTTAAACTGCTTGTTCTCAACAGGTTTGATCTATTAATAATAATAAGGACGTTGGATTATTTTAGTATGAATGCCATTATGAGCTTTATCATTGTTTAATGTGGGGAGCTGCATAGTATTATTTATAGAGGTGCATTGTATAACGTTCTAAAATTAGGGGCAAAACAGGTGAAAAGCACAATAGCTATGGTGTAAAACGAACTACCGAATTTACCGTACATCTGTAACCCTAATTTTTGACCATTAAGTTATAACCATGAAAATTTCCAATACTTTGTTCAAGATAAAAAAAGTCAGATCTGATTAAGCAAACTTGAGCTTTACCATTGACTTGTAACTACCCAGCCATGATTGGATATTATTTGACCAGTAAAACCATGTTAAAATCAAATTTCGATTTGCTTCGGGATGGAATTGAAGGCCGTCGACATTGTTGGCTGCTCGAGCGGTGAAGGGACTCGAAGCTGCCCCGCACACGAGGTTTGCGGTGACAGTCTGGCCGTCAACGATGTGGTTGTGCTTCGATGCGAGGTCATGCGATTGAATGCTGATGGGCTCGAAGAAACCCTCAAGGTTTACAAGATTATTGGTGCGGAGCAACTCTGCCATGTCGGCTTTCTTCCCCGTCGTTTGGTCAACACGAAAGTCAAGTATGCGAACAAATTTTCAATTGTTGTAGAATACTACAGAGTCGATAACAGTGCTTCGAAATGCAATCGATCGAATAGGTGCCTTGGACTTGTAAGAGCTGTACTGATGGACCACATTATTTAGGAGTACAATAGATCTTAGATAAAGCAAAATCAATCCATTCAATCAATGATGTACTTTGATGTAGAATGTCTTGGCAGGGCCAAGTGCAGCCTCGTAAGCTTGAATGGCTTTGACTTTGAAGCGTAAGGATATGATCTTGCGCCTTCCTGTCTTGGAGCGGCTACGTGGTGGTTCTGCAGTCATTTGGCCTGTGACGTGTATGTCGTGCACTTTGAATAAATGTGAAACCGCGCGAACCATTTTGTCCAATCATAGTTATTCAAATGCGCGGAAACAACAGTGGTATATATTTCAGCTTTACCATTGAGTTGTACTCCATGCGCGGAAACAACAGTGGTATATATTTCAGCTTTACCATTGAGTTGGAGTAACTATTTCGGAAACATTTTGGGGGTTACAGATGTACGGTAAATTCGGTAGGCTGTAAAAATGGACATCATGGTACTGTATGAGGGAATTATTCGTCGATCAAACAAGTTCTGCCATACATAATATTTATTAAGTATAACAGGTAATTCAAGTTCTCTGGGACACCTGCACATTCCCATAATCAGAAATATTTGATTATGGAGGAACTAAAAGTTCCCACTTAACAAATCAACTACGGTAACGTACAGGTACATACTGTACATGGAATTAATGTAAATGCCTTTCACAAGCCGTGATGTTGAAATTTTAAGAACCTAGGCTCTCATGTTGCACGCATGTTGATCTTCTCCTGGTAGAACTTACGGCTTTTTTTACATCCTGTATTCGCTGTGCACCGTGTACTACGTACTCGATATACTACACCTTTTCCCGATCAAAGTGCCACTTTATTCCAATCAAAGTGGTTTGGATAAAAAATATAAATTTTAACAAGGTTTCCAAAGTGGATAATTTCGGATCAATGTGGTTTTTCTTCCAATCAAAGTGGTCAGATTAAGCGCGAGGAAAGGTGCCAACTTTGAAGGCAAGAAGGTGGTAATTGTGCTCGACAACGCACCTGCACACTCACAAACCGAGCAGCGAGTTC